TTGAAGTGATCTGGTGAGTTTTCTTAAAAAAGCGGACAGAGCTGAGTACAGGATTTTGTTTTTTCTGATCTTATTTGGATTTTAAATTTAAAGATTTATTTTTATTCTCTCTTTTTGTTTTTTTCTTTTGTTGAAAGGGAAAGTAAAATGGTGATCGGTAGGCTTTTTGGTGTTTTTTTTCTTTTTCCGACTGGAACGGAATGGAATGGATTTAATTATTTATAATGATGTTTTGGATTTTAGGAGGATTACTTTCCCTTTCTGTTTAACTTCTGTTTAACTTTTTTTTATTTCTTGAAGGATTTTTCTTTGTTTTTTGTATTTTTTTTTGAAAAAAAAACGGAACGGACTTTTTTTTATTTAATTATTATTATCTCTTTTTTTTCTTTCTTTCTTTTCCTTCTTATTGGATTTTATTTGGATTTTAGTTTGGACTTTTATTTGGACTTTAGTTTGAAAGGCTGATTTTTATTTTTCCCTCTCCTTTTTTTTTCTTTATGGGTAATTTTTAAGAAGGAGTAAAGATTTTTTAAGATGGCTCCAAAGCGTCCAGTAATTCCCACAGCTACTAAGGTGGTTTCTTCTTCGGTGATATCATCAGTGCAACTATCTAAATTAACAGCTTCACCCTCTCCTTTGGCACAGTTATTAACGGTAAAGGAGTTGCAAGACATAATGGGAAATGCTATATCTCAAATCAGGGGAGAAGTGAAAGAGATTTTAGCAGAAAATAATAGGATTCTGAGGCAAGATATAGTTTTGGCTTTAAAAGGAGTTGCCTCTGTTCTTGAAAAGTTGAACTTTCATGTCGAAGAGGTAGTAGAGAAAGTGGAGCTGCTGGAGGAAAAATTTGAAGGTATGGAAAAAGAGATGGAAAATTCTCAAGATGAGATTCTTATGCTTCAATACAGAGAGATGGAATATGCCTTAAGAATCAGAGGCCTGAGGGAGTCTTTGCAAGGAGATCTGAGAGAGATGGTTGCAAATGACTTTGCTGTGATTCTGAATAGAGAAAAAGAGGAAATATTTAGTGCAATTGAAAAAATATTTAGAGTTAACTCTGTAGTGGCAAAGCAAAGAAATCTGCCAAGAGATGTGGTGATCTATTTTGGGAAAAGATCCCTGCGCAATGAAATTATACAAGCTTTTTATAATAAGAGGTTTCAGATTGCTTCACAAGATGTTATAATTTTAAAGGAGATCCCATCTAAAATTCTAAGAAGAAGAAAGGAGTTTCCTTTCTTAGCAGATGAGCTTAAAAAGAGGCAAATGTTGTTCAGATGGGATGTCCCGACTGGAATGGTGGTGAACTATCTGGGGACATGTTATAGACTTAACACTGTCTTTAAAGCAAAAGACTTTTATACTTCGGTCCTGGGGGTATGTTCATCGCCATCTATTGTTTTGGAAGAGAGGAAGGTAGAATTGCAGTCTGAAGAGCCTATATTGATGAAAATTGGGAAATCTCAGGGTGAGGGGCCTCAACAAGTTGAGATGAAGGAGCAGAGGATAACTTGTGCAACACATAAACGTAAAGAAAAGGAGCAACAGAAGAAGGAGTTTAAGGAAGCCTCACAAGTATTTGTTTCTGAGTCTGCGGGAGAAGCAAGATCCATAAACTTTTTGGAGCAACCTTTAAGGGCAGATTTCCAAGCACTTCTCTCGAGGCTTATATGTTTATTTTTGTGTTTGATGATAAAGAAAGAGGGAGAGATTAGATTTTATATAATATAAATATGTTTTTATGTGTGTTTTTGAGGGTGTTTATAAAGAATGATGGATAAATTTTAAATAATATGAGTATGACATTAGAAAATGCTCAGAGTATTTTATAATGTGTCTAATGATTGTAATTATAATTTTTTTTTATAAGTAATGTTTATACGTGTGTTTTTGAGGGTGTTTATAAAGAATGATGGATAAATTTTAAATAATATAAGCATTATATTAGAAAATGTTTAGAGTATTTTATAATGTGTCTAATGATTGTGATTATTTTTTTTCTTTTTCCTTTTTTTTCTTTATATATTAGTTTTAAAGTATTTTATAAATTGTTTATTGTAATTAATTAATTAATTGTTTATGGTATATAGTTTATATGTGTATTTTTGAGTTTGATGACAAAGAAAGAGGGATAGATTTTATATAAGTATGATATTATGGAGATTGAATGAAAATTCTAGATAAGTAGTGTATTTTTAGATATAATTTTTTTTCTTTTTTTGTTTTTTATATATTGGTTTTAAAGTATTTTATAATTTGTTTAATTATTGTAATTAATTGTTTATGGTATACACATGTCTAAAATTTTTTCTTTTAAGTTTTAATTAAGCCTATATTCAGCTCTGGGAAGGTTGGGGGAGGGTTGGGGTGGGTGGGGAGGGTTTGGGGAGGGGGATTTTCTTTTTTTCTTCTGTAAAACTTTAAAAAACTTTCAATAAAAAAAAATAATAATAATGTTGGAAGGGACCTTGGAGGTCATCAAGTCCAATCTCCTGCTCAGGCAAGAAACCCTATACCCTTTCAAATGGCTGTCCAGTCTCTTCTTAAAAACTTCCACTGTTGGAGCATTCGCCGCTTCTGGAGGCAAGTTGTTCCACTGGTTAATTGTTCTAACTGTCAGGAAGTTTCTCCTTAGTTCTAGGTTGCTTCTCCCCTTGATTAGTTTCCATCCATTGCTTCTTGTCCTGCTTTCAGGCGCTTTGGAAAATAGCTTGACTCCCTCTTCTTTGTGGCAGCACCTGAAATATTGGAATACTGCTATCATGTCCCCCCTCATCCTTCTCTTCATTAAACTAGACATATCCAATTCCAGCAGCCGTTCCTTATATGTTTTAGCCTCCAGTCCCCTAATCATCTTTGTTGCTCTTTTCTGTACTCTTTCTAGAGTCTCAACATCGTTTTTACATCGTGGCAACTAAAGCTGGATGCAGTATTCCAAGTGTGGCCTTACCAAGGCATTGTAAAGTGGTATTAATACTTCACATGATCTTGATTCTATCTGTCTTGTTAATGCAACCCAGCACTGTGTTGGCTTTTTTGGCAGCTGCAGCACATTGCTGGTTCATATTTAAGTGACTGTCCACTAGGACTCCGAGATCCCTCTCACAGTTACTACTATTGAGCAAGGTACCACCTATACTATACATGTACATTTGGTTTTTCTTGCCTAAATGTAGAACCTTACTTTTTTCACCATTGAATTTCATTTTGTTAGATAGTGCCCAGTGTTCAAGTTTGTCCAGATCCTCCTGTATCTTAAGCCTGTCTTCTGGAGTGTTGCAGATAGAACATTAGGTCAATGGTAATGTTTTGAGGTTCCACCCTAACAATAGCCCTTATCTCTGAACTATAGACAATATGTGGCTATCACGACTACTAGTTATTTGGGCTTTCTGCTAATTTGTCTAAACTTCAAAAGTAATCTAAGCTACAGGTTATCCCAAAGCTGCTTTTCAAAAGGCAACTGGACTTTGTTTTTTCCTTGAAAACATTTCACTTCTCATCCAAGAAACTTCTTCAGTTCTGGCTCAATGGTAGAGAAAGAAAGGATTTATATTCCAGATAAATATATATATTCAAGCCAACATTTGCTCAAATAAAATTACAATAGACGAGGTTTTCCATATCTACAAATTTAAACTAGGATAGTTGGGAGAGCGTATATCCATTGATATGACAAGCTGCATCATTTTATCTGAAATGGTATAAGGTTTCCTGCCTGAGCAGGGGGTTAGACTAGATGGTCTTCAAGGTCCCTTCCAACTCTATTATTATTATTATTATTAATCATCACAGTCAGCCAGATGTTCAGACTGGATTTGGCATTTTTGTCTACCTATCGAGTCCTTATCAAGGAGCTGGGATAGGCAGATGTGGATGTTTGAATTGATAGTATTACAGATATCGTCGCAGGATGGAAGCAGTTCCTAGTAAGGCTGCCTTTGGCAATTGACTAATGGCGAATGTGTCAATGCCAATGGTGTTCAAGCGGTGCTCCAGTTGTTTTGGGATTGCACCCAAGGAGCCTATCACTATTGGTACTACCCTTGCTTGCCTTTGCCACAGTCTTTCTATTTCTATTTGTAGGTCTTTGTATTTTGTTATCTTCTCCAGTTCTTTCTCGTCTATTTTGCTGTCTCCAGGCACTGCCACGTCCACTATCCAGACTTTTTTGTCTTTCTTATCGACAGTTGTTAAGTCTGGGGTGTTGTGTTGCAGGTGCTTGTCTGTTTGAATTCTGAAGTCCCAGAGCAGTTTAATTTTATCATTTTCTATGACTTTCTCTATTTTATGATCCCACCAGTTCTTGCTTGCAGGCAAATGATATTTCTTGCAGATCTTCCAATGCACCATTGTTGCTACTTTGTCATGCAGCTGCTTGTAGTCAGTCTGTGCAATCTTCTTGCAGCAGCTTACCAGGTGGTCCACTGTTTCTTCATCTTCTTTGCATAGGTGGCACTTACTGTCTGTTGCTGTCTTCTCAATTTTGACTTTATATACATTTATTATTATTATTATTATTATGGATCATCGCACAGTCAGCCAGATGTTCAGACTGGATTTGGCATTTTGTCTACCTATCGAGTCCTTACCCAGGACCTGGGATAGGCAGATGTGGATGTTTGATGGTATTACAGGTATCGTCGCAGGATGGAAGCAGTTCCTAATAAGGCCACCTTTTGCAATTGACTAATAGCGAATTTGTCAATGCCAATGGTGTTCAAGTATTGTTGTTGTTGTTGTTGTTGTTGTTGTTGTTATTATTATTATTATTATTATTGCCATCCAGCTGGCTTTCATGCCTAATGGGAGTCCAGAATTCCCAGTATCTTGGTTTCTAGGCCAGCACCTTCAGCACTACACCAACCTGAGCCTCCAGATTCAGGCATCTAGACCGGATTTCCACCAGGTCGGTCAGCAAGGAGAGGGACGAGAGCACCCCTACCGACTTCACTCCTATTTCCACCTGTCTCTCTTGCCCCCCGTCTGAAGCTCACCGACAAGGAAGTGGCCGCCTTGCGTTCTTCGACCTGCGGCCCAAGAAGCAGAGACATTCCCGGCTGCAGAGCGTGTCCCACACACCTTACTCCCAGACTCTTCTCCGAGGACAACGAAGGTCCCACGGCCAGTCCCCGAGGAAGATGCCACGCTGAACAGAAGGGACAACCGCCGTACATATCCAGAGTGCGGCCTTCAATAAAAGGACAATCAGCGCAAGCGCAGGACGCTACATCCCCCCCCCCACAATCCACAAAAAGGCCCTCGCTAAGGCCCGGGCCTCTTTCCCTCGTATGATGACTCTCGTACCCTGTTAGGAAGCGGAACGGCGCACTCCACGAGCCTCGGTTGCACCCGGGCTAATATTCCTTTCACAACGCCTGACGTTGAGCGCGGGAGGAAAGGAGTTTCCATGGAAACGGGTTCGCTTTCCGGTTCATAGTCGGATGTTTGCGAAGGTGTTTGACAGGCGGGAGCGGCTGTTGGCGAGCGAGGAGAGCGCTCCGAACGCGCATAGTCAGAGTCGGAAGTGGAGAGTTTTTTTTTCTACATGAGATAATTCGCGGATTCGAGCGCGCTCACCCGTTTCGAGGTAAATCGGGTTGTGAGGGTTGAATGGCTGGGGGAGGCTCCTTCTCGGCGGGAATATTCTTGCTTCGTCGGGACAAAGTCTTGTTCGGTCGGAGGGCGCATGTTTTGGAACTCCTTGGCCAAAGTCCAAGGCACGGAGCCGCTGCATTGAACTCCTGCCTTTATTTTCCCACCTTGTCACTACGGTCAGGTGTAGACGTCCCCTCAACTCTGTTTTGGGCAATTCCTTTCCTTTTTAGCATACCTTGTTTTATTCAGAAGCGTTCCTCAGCCTTCTGCAAGGGTTTCGCTGAAATCTACAGGTGGAAACATTTCTTCCATCAACTTCCTTCTGTTAACTTACTTTTGCAGAGCCGAGTATTGTTTCTAAAGGAGCATCCTGTTTCTGTTATTGCAGAATTGAGACCTTCTTAGCAAGCACAACCGTAATTTGCTTCACCACATTTTGTTATTTAAACCACAACTGGCTGAATTTGACATTGTTTTAGGCCATAAACTGTGATTAATGCAACCATAAAACCTGGATTGACACATTATGCATGCAAAGCTAAACATGGCTGTAATGTGTGATCTGAATTGTAGATTTGTGTTAGAAAGACTGTTTAGAAAGAGAATTATTTTAAGTAAGATAAAACATTGTAAGGGAGGGAGAAATTGCTAAAACTAGCTTGTTTATGCAAACTAGAGGATTTCAATCAAGTCACTGACTATATGCATTGTCTTAATCTTAGTTTGTACTGATCAGGTTGATGTGCTAATTAATAGTGAAAACTTTATCCCACTTTGATCTGGGTAATTGCAAGGTTCTTCTAACAGAAAGTGGAAATTTTGGGATGTACAGATGGATGTTTTAAAGAAGTGGTCTATATGTGGATAAGGTTGGACAGAGATTCAGTAACAAACACAACTGTGTAGAATACAGTATTTTATAGTATAGCAGAATTTGTTTGGAAATTTTGAAGGAGGGGTCCTTTTAAGTGAGTATTCTACCAGATGTCTGAAGATTTTTATGCTGGATATTCATTTTTATGGCAATATAGGTGTACTGTGGCTGAAATTCTTTCAGGTGTATTGGATTTGCTGTAAAAAAAAAATGGAAGGCCAGGAATGATTTAGGAGTAGTGGTAGGCATGAAGTTACTAATGTGGTTCCCCCCCCCCAGTTGTTGAATTTGCTGTAGTATCACCAGAATCAAATATGCTGAGCCAGTAGAATTGTTCAACAAACTCAGAAGAAGTTATGTTCTAGCAGAAAAGTGTGGTATTTTTCAAACTATAATGTGATTCAGCAGATTGTGTCATACAGTCAGTGGATCTTTTTGATTTAAACTGAAAGCCGTGAAGTATGGGGATCATCCTCGGTCAACTTTCTTTTTTTTTCTTGAACTGTACTGTACTATTGGTTGAACAAGCTAAATGCCTATTTTTATTGAGTACCTCAACTATTGCTGCAAGATTTCAGTGGATTTTATTATAATAGTAATGCTGGAGTTGCAAACAAAAGTATATAACTTAATTTTATTCCTTCGTTAGGCTTATTGAATGCAGGAAATAAGCTAAAGATAGAAATGAATTCACGAGCACCAGCAATTCAGGTATAATTTCTTGAGCTCCCATTCACACATATACATGCTTAATGTATAAAAGTATATTAAAGTACATGTATGGATATAGATTTCTTAGACATTGTTTCTCAGTCTTAGCAACTTTAAAATATGGGGACTTCAACTCCAAGAATTTTGGGAGTTGAAGTCCACATATCTGAAAGTTGCTAAGGTTGAGAAATACTGCTCTAAGATTCGTTAGAGGGCCTACATAAAAATGAAAAGGAAAGGCAAGAGTAACACTTTTACCTGTTTTGCTAAATGATCAAGTACAGTTGCTTTTGTGTTTCATGGCTGGTTTCTTTAATTGTTCTATTTTTCTTTGCCAACCTTAGAACAAATTATGTATTGTACGTGTATTATTTTTTGCCTCAGTGTATAAATAGAATGATTTTGAAGTATTAAAATCATATGTTTTAGTGACTTTATATAATCATTACTTTGGAAACTTTTGGAAAAAATAGAGGAAGTTTGAGACAGTGCATATCTAAAATTAATTACCTTTTCCTTTCAGTTAATTATAACCTTGCATTTTCTTATAAATATGTCTAAAAACAGAGGTAATGTTTTCTGGAATACCAGATAGGTGGTCCTCAATTAACAGCCACTCATTCGATGACCATTTGAAGCTATGACAGTGCAGAATGAGTAGCGGTTATAACTTCTCCTTGAAGTCCCAACTGTCCCAGCAGTCCCTTAGTCACATGGTCACGATCTCATCACTTGCCAATCAGTTCACACTTACCTGCAGCATCCTGCAGTCACGTGATTGTGATTTGCAACCTTTCCTCCTGGCTTCCGAGAAGCAATGTCAACAGGGAAGCCAGCAAGGAAGGTCGCAGGTTGCATGAGTAAGTCTCTCCAGGGGGTTGGACTAGAAGCCCTCCAAAATCCCTTCTGTTATTCTGTTATTCTCCCACATGTAGTCTCTTCTTGAACCTGGTTGCACTTGTGCTGTGCCTTCCCAACCATTTGCGCATCCTCATGCACCCTCCTTCCTATCCAGCAGCTGCCAGTTACCTGCCTGCTGGCCTGCTTGCAAGCTGCCTGGGACTTGCAGCTTCCTGCTGGTTTCCCCATTGACTTTGGTTGTTGGAAGCTGGCAGGAAGTTGCAAGGAGGGACCGACTTAATGTCCCTCAATTATAGCAAGAGCAAATGCAGGGATTGCTGTTGCTCTGTGATGTGATTACATGATGGTGCACTTTACAACCACATTACTTAGCCATGGAAATTCTACTCCCACCTGCCATTATTAAGCAAGAATCGTGGATTGTAACTCAAAGACTCCCTATACAGAATAGATGTAACTAATGTTAAGTCATTTGGACTATCTCCTATCTTTCTATGTCCAGATTACAAGTGGCAAATATCTCTACTATAAAGATATATGCTCTAGGTGATGTTTAAATGTTTAGTAATCTGCAAGATGTTGTAGGTTGTTTCAGCAAAGCATAAGTTAAACAATAAATTTTGGTAAAGAATCAGACAATTGATGCTTTACAGATGCTGTTTAGGTAACACAGCCACCCATGATTTGGTGCTATGAGAAAAAGGTCAAATATTTGATTTGCATATTTAGAACCAGAAACTAGTTTGGTAACTTCTAACTCTTGGTTTCCTTAGGTTTCCCCATGCTCCTCAGATTTTATTTTTTTAATGTCAACCGGTAGTTTGTCTTGTAATAATAATAAGAAATCTCTAATGGAGTTTAATATTTGAAGAAAAAATACAGCAAATTAGATATGTCTCATCTTTTAAGAGATTAGATTATATTTGGGTCCAAAGCTGAATATCGCAGATTGGAAGTGTTTTGTTTAAGCATGGATTAGATGTTTTCTAAGAAGTAATAGGAATAATATGGCCAAGAACATCAAACACTTTAATGTATTTGTACTATGTTCATCTTCAAATGGAACAGAAATATAGTTAAAAAACTACAGATACTGTGAAAAATGCTATATTTATGCATTAATCTGATTTTCTGCTCAAAATATGAATGTCAGTGGAAGATATTTTTGAGATTTATATGAAAATAAATACTAGTTTCCCTCTAGTATTTGGGTCATTTCTTCAGTGAAGATTTAACAACATATTGAAACACTACCAGAGATCAAATATTACTTGCATATACTTATATCACTTAGATTTTGGGATGGCATTAGGTGAATATCTACCATATGCTATATATATTGCAGAGAAAACATAGAATATAAATACCAATATAAAATTAATAAATACTGTACTCTGATTATGTTGTATTACTGAGAAAATTGGAATCACTATAAGCAAGTAGGAGATTGTTTTTATGTTGATACTAGGGATGTTTTTCTAATTGGATAAATTTAGATAATTTTGAGAATATGCTGCTGAAGTTGTTTTGAAGAGAATGAGTCACCTCATTTGGTGGTTAAGGTTTCCATAGAAACTGAGGATATTGCTAAAGACAGATGGTTGGTTGCAATTTAAGCATGTTTCTAGCATTAGCTATTCATTCAAAAGAGTAAAATGTCCTGCTCTTTGTCCCTTTGGCAGCTTCTTCCATCTTTGTGAGAGGAACAAACCATAGCTGAGGTTAACTTTGCAGATTTGCCAGTCTGCATTTATACTTCCTACCAATATATTGTATTTTGTCAAGCTAGGCTTTCTGCACAATACTTTTATAGTCACCTGAAATGTAAGTGTAATGTAGGTATGCATTTTGATATAAAGATATATTAATATTAGCTGTAAAATATGCAGCTAAATTCCCTTCAGTGTTTTCACTGAAATTATGGCAGAATGCTGAGGTATTCTTTAATATGTGGAGATATTTTTGCTGCTTTCTTTATGGAAGTGATGTTAATTTCTAATGTTAGATATAGACTTGTTTTGATCTATTTTTTACATATTTTATTTTGGAGTTGATATATTGCTTGAGTTGATTTTAAGGATTCTCTAATAAGAGCCAGTTTGATGTAATGGTTAAGTCATCGATCTAGAAACCAGGGATCGTGAGTTCTAGTTCTACCATAGGCACAAAGCCAGGTGGATGCCCTTTGGATAGTCACTTTTTCTTTTTGACTTTTTTGTGGTGGTTGTTAAGTGAATCACTAGTCATTAAGCAAATGTAACGGTCTTTAAGCAAATCCATTGTCCATAATTGGTGTCATAAATCACGGTCACATAAGTGCAGGACCTTGCAAACAGCCATAAATGTGGGCTGGTTGCTAAGTGTTCCAAAAGTGGTCAAGTGATCGCGGGGGTGGGGTGGGCGTGGGGAAACGCTATTATAATTTTGAAAAGTGAATTCACAAAATATCACAAAAACTGGTATAGGTCTGGCAGGAGATGATTCTGGAGGCAACAAGGACCCAAACTTTATGTGTAATTACACTTGGAAACTTACTGGCAACAAGTGCTGATCTCACAAACAGATGTTATTCTGTTGAACTGGTTGGGCTGAGCATTCTGTGTCAGTTGCAGTTTTCAAATTGTGTTCAAGTACACCTCATGTAAAATGAATTACAGCAATCTGGGTGAGTAACTACACGAGAGGTGACAAATGCTTCCTAGTACAAGAAGGGGCACAACTGAAGCTGACCATTCCTGGTTCCTATTCCAGCAGAAGTTGTGAAGCCAGAAGAACCTCCAAAGTGTACACCAGATTCTTTAGAAGCAGCATGAGTATCAAAGGAAGTAGAGGATTTCTGTCCCAACAGTAACTCTTGTCTCGTAAGGATTCAGTCTTAGTCTACTTCGGCACACTCAGTCTCTCACAGACTAATGACATCAAGTTTAGATTTCCACTTCTACTTGGCCTAGACTAGATATTAAAGATATTTAGTTTGGATATTAGATATAAAGTTATACAGGTATTTATATCATTTGCAAATTGATGATACCTAATCCCAAACCAACGGAGAATCTCCACCAATAGTTTCACATAGATATTAAACAGATGGGAGAGAGAGACCTCATTGCAATGTTGCCGTTTTGACCTGTACACTAAATAGAAGTACTTCAGTAAATAATTTGGACAGGCCTATTGCCTTAACTTTTCCTATTGCCTTTGTTATGAGGCTCTGAAGGGAAAGCAAATATATTATTAGCCTGTGAGCGACAAAGAAATGAAATGCAACTGCAATCAAAACACTGTTATCTGTGCTCTCCTCTCAAGTTAGATATGAATGAAATGTCTGTCACATGTAGAATGGCATTTAAAGGAGGACACTTTGGGAAATGCCAGTGAACATTGTGAGATGTTTCTTTGCTAATTTGTGAATTTCTGCTGCTTCTTTTCTAGTAATCTTTTGAGTACTTGAAGTATGGAGCAATACCCAGATTTACAAGAGGACCTGAGTCTGGAAGATACCAGTGAGTCTCTCAATCAGCTCAAGTTGGCCTCTCTAGATGACAAAAATTGGCCATCAGATGAAGTCCCTGTTTTCCCAAAGTCTGGTAAGTGTTTCTGTTAATAAAACAATAGCAGGATGTGACTGTCATGTTTTAAAGAATCCATAATATGAAAATATTGCCGGCCTGCAGCTTGTTAAACCAGCTATGTCTTTCTCTGGGAGACCCCAACTGTCCTCCACAGGAAAAGATTGACTGATAGTGATGCTTGCATACTCAGAAGCACTTGTTTGCCTTTTAATACAAAATGTTACACAACCCTGTTCTGCAGCATTCATCTTAGATTTCTTTAAGATGTTGCAAAAGAGTTTGCTTGGTATCCTGAATATAAATTGTAATGCAGAACTCAGATATTCATCAGCAAATAAGAACTGGAATATCATAGGTTGTATATAGCAAAGAAATACCTGTACAGTATAGCTATCCATGCAGTAGATTATAGTTGTTCAAATTGGGATTTGTGGCAGAAGATTTTAAGTCTATTGTTTTGTTCCATTAATGGTGTCATTATATAGTTAAAGCAGATGCTTTTATAAATATGTTTAAACTATCTTAGTGGTTTTGAAATACCAAATGAACAAGTAAATGTATCCCATTTGTACTCCATCATACCTGAATAAAGGTGCAGGGATAGAGAGAAATGAATATAGCCATTCTACTGATGATGCACCTAGACATTTCTCTGTGCTTTTGGACCCTTATTTTGTAAGTTTGACTTTATGTGATATTTCTTCCTCTGTTTATTTGCATATGTGCTGTACAGATGATACCAAGAGCACCCCGGATTCTGCCTCACATCTGCGATGGGATGATCCGTACTATGACATTGCTAGGCACCAGATTGTGGAAGTAGCAGGTACTCTTTTGTTATAGTATAATGATTTGAAATAAAATAAATAATCTCTTTGTAATAATGGTAACAGTCAAAATAAAAATTCTTTTCTCGTAGAAAATTTTAATGATACCTTCTCTAGGAAATCATTGAAAGTTGCAAAGAATGGAAATAATTTTAAATTTTGAAGAACAGGTGGTGATCCAAAGTCTTTGACAGTGCGTGTATTATTTGTCATAAAAAGCAATACCTCTCTCAGATTGAACTGCCGACTAAATGGCTATATCCATTGTGGCTTTCTTGATAAAAATAGAGACTTGGTTTTGAGCCTATTTCCAGGATATTTCTTTAAATTCACATTGTTCACAGAGCTTGGACTTCTAATGGGCTCCTAGCCCTACAATTGCTTTTTGACATTTCTGGATTATATATCATAACTATATAATAGAAATCAGTTCCAGCAGAATAATTATTTGAAAAACTAAAATGAGAACAACAGTACAAAAAAATATCAAAATTATTACAAAAGATAGTTTCCAAATTATTTTAATATATTTTGAACTTTGTAACTTTTTGTAGGATTCTTTCTTTCTTTCTTTCTTTCTTTCTTTCTTTCTTTCTTTCTTTCTTTCTTTCTTTCAGAAGTTTTGTCTCATTCATTGTGGCAAAGGGATAGTAACCTCTTCCTGGAAAAGGCTCTTAGAAAGCAGCAATAAGATGTGATTTGCTTTCAGAGGGCTTTTTAAAATAAACATCAGAATATGTTGGTGTTCTGAAGTGTCAACTAATTTCATACTTTTATATAACATTTGACAGACAATTGGCAGATAAGGTGATCTGTTCAGAACCTACAAATGCTTTTAATTTTTTGAGCGATAGCAAGCATTTTAATTCTCAAACTAAATTATTGGGTACCTTGTCTGATTAATTTGTGGAACATCTGAAAGTGAAGAATCAACCCATTTTTCAAAATCCTGGCTCCATAGACTTGCAAAGAAACAGTTAAGCCCTTTGCTATTTCACTGATAACTAGGCTACAAAGCTGACATTTCTGTTTTCTGCAGGTAACTGATTTATATGTAGTTCTAAATTCAACTATTATCTGAATTACATGCAGACTTAAATTGTCTTTTGAGAAGAATGTGGTATGTTAATGGTTACTAGGAACGATATCATGAGACTGGAAGACTGGACATTGTTTTTAACTTGTATCTAGGATTAATATTAATCATTTTCTTAGTCACTAAGGAATAGAAATGAAGAATGGGTTATTTGCAGAAAATAAATGATAAATTATGGATTATCCAAGATATATGGATAAATGCAGTTGCTGGATAGCTTTTGGACATATCTGCCTGGATTTCTTTGATAGCAACAATTGTTTTGAATTTTCAAACTGCAATTATGTAGTTTTTTTGCCCATTGGTTTTTTGTCCATTTTGAATATAAAGGGTAATTCAAGGAACGCTCCAGTCCTCTACATCAAAATGTATTTAAATAACTTTTATATATAATTTTATAGTGTCTGTTTCTGAGGGATTTTCAGCACAGGAAGTATCTTCTTTCTCTATGCAAATATGATAGGAATGCCTTTCTGTTCTCTGGGTCTGTAACTAGATATTGAACAATTCATGAATCAAGGTCTCCACTGTTATTATTAGATGGGGCTAAACAAAAGAAAACTGTAGTACACATTGTGTTCAAATACATAAGAATAGCTCTATTGCTAACTTCCTCAGATTTCTACCATTTGACAGAATTTATGAATAATGTTCATATGTTCCAGAAACATTGTGCATGTATATATTGTGGAAAGTAAATGATGTTCATATATTCTATACTGCTAATATAGTTTAATTATTTCTGTGTTCATGTTAATTTTATTTTTCTATGTTATCTGTTTTCCATTGTAAACAGGAAATTGTAGTTCGGAAGAAGATTCATTTATTATCTATCTCTTCATTTATGGAGCAGGTGCAAATCAAGAATAGCTTTAAATAAATATATGTTATGCATGTAATTTCATTTCTTGGTTTTCTGGAAGTTTATTTATTGATTGTGTATGTGCCCAACCTCTAAATACCCTGTTGACAAGTAAAAAAATATTTCTGATACTACAAATGCCCATTGATTTTAGGTCTGGTTTATTAGAAAAACAAAAACTGGACTGTATTGAAAGTTTGTTCAGTTCACTTTTCTTCTGCATTTTCATTTACTGTATGCACAAAAGCATTTTTCAGAGGTTCAGAAAGGGTCTCCTAAAAGTATGTTGTATCATATGCATCTGCAGTGTGTAGAAGCGGTCTTCTACTAAAATAAGGCCTAGTTTTTGAATCCACAATTTTCTGTCCCTATTTATATTCATTTCAGAGAAGGGCAAATTGTAAATACTAAAAAACAAATAACTTGTCCAATATTATGAATTGATAGAACTGAAATGAAATGGGATTACAGTTGTTTATTTGTTCAATTTATATAACTGCCCATCTCACATATGTGAAGCTGTGTGGTTCACTAAGTTGAAACACAAAACAAAAATGCAAAAAAATAACCAAAATAATATAACAAAGACCATTAGGAACAATAAAAATGTTAAAACTAGTAAAATATGTAACAGTACAATCCAACTTCCTTACAACATATAGTAGCCATTTAGCAGGCTCCACGCCACCATTACTGAATCTCTAGGCAAGAAAGCCAAACCAGGTTTTCAGGCCCTTCCTAAAGGCCAGAATTGTATATGCCAAAGTTCTGGGGGAATGATCTCTGCATGGAATGGTTGTGTGGTAAGGATTTTAGATTGGATGCTTTTATGTAGTTTCTCTCTGCCAGTCTTATAGGGCTCCCTGGTTTTTCAAGGAATTTTGAGAGATAAAACAGCTAAAGGATACCTAGAGTTTCACTGGAAAAAGACAAAAAGTGAATCTAACCAAGTATAAGAGCCCATTTTAGGGATTAAGAGCTTCAAAACACAATTCTCTTTATGCTGTTATTGTTGGTTGATAGCCTTATTTAAAGTGATCCATTCCCTGCTGTATGAATAGGTAACTGACTCACTTGCTGTGGGGATTACTCTAGGAATCTGGTGGGTAAAGTTGCTTGCATTTGCTCTGAATTAGACTCCAGCTGGTGAGGTATTGTTGAGATGACAGAGGCTCTGTCTTGTTGCCTGGGAAGTATTTCATGCTGTGATTTCTGGGGAAATGGATAAATCTTCACAACTGTTAGTCTCTAGCCACTTGTTTATTAGATCCTCTTCTTCATAGCCTCCCAGCAGATAATGTGTGGATTCATGTGAAAATAAATTCTTCCTTGAGACAGGGATGCTTCTATCTGCCTCTCACACAAAATATCTGGACTGAGTTGTCTCTTATTTTTTTGGAATGCACCCAACCGTCCTGAGCATCCATCCATCCATCCATCCATCCATCCATCCATCCATCCATCCATCCATCCCTCTCTCTCTCTCTCCTCTCTCTCTCTCTTTAATTTGCTGTCCAAGGCAATTCTATTCTACATTTCCATCACACATGCAACACATAATGCAGTATATAACTACTTATAGTCTGGTTTTAATGGATCCTAAATGTCTACAAATATTACAGATTAGTAAATGTATAAAAGTAATGGAGATCAGAAACAATACAGTAGTACTTCTTATTATTTTTTATTTTTTCTACTTTTTAGATATTTTAACTTTTGTTAAATGTGCTTAAGCTACATTTTCCCCTGTCTGTCTGTCTGTCTGTCTGTCTCTATCTGTCTGTCTGTCTGTCTGTCTGTCTATCTATCTATCTATCTATCTATCTATCTATCTATCTATCTGTAATAACAATACAATGGTGATTTTAATATTAACTAATTACTTAAGACCAAAACCATTGTTGCGTTACAAATATTTTGATGTGAATTGCAGTGGTTCTTTTTTAATGTTATATTAGCTTTGAAAGAAAAAAAACAAATAATATGCTTGTAATATTGACATTCTATATTGTAATAAATATGGATATCTTTTTCTTTCCTGTCTCTATTTTCAGTACTTCGAGCTATATAAATAGTAGAATGCTAATAATATCTAACTGTATCATGTAAACATTAAGGTATTGAAACAATACAATGTATCAAGATTTATAACAGAGGAAAATAATTCTCTTCCAGTCTCCAGCCTTCCGCTTTTGATAATGTTCCAAAGAGCCTTCGAAGAAATAGATTATTGGGACCATTTCAGTCAGGTTTTACACTGGAGCAAAGTACAGAGACAGTATTGATTATATTTGTTGATAACTTTTGGTGGAGCTGGGTTAGTGGTGCAACTATTCTGGTTGTTTTTGATCTCTCAACAACTTTTGAAACAATACATTATGGTATTCTTCACTGGGTATAGGGTTTGTGAGTGAAAGATCTGACATTGCAGTGGTTATCTTTTCTCCATGGCCAAAAAGCACTGGTTGGGTAGGCAGTAAGTTATATTTTAGTTTCTTGATTAAATTAAAACTGAGCTGTATGAATAGTTCCAATAGTGGAAAGCAGATAGTGGAAGCAAGAGAGACATATCACGTTGCTTACAAAAGTTCACCATGTCTTTTAAAAATGAATATTTTACTCAAGTTTCTTTTTCTGTTTCAAATGTTACCAATTTTGAAAAATGAGATTAATTTAAATGAGTGGCAGAAGGGTCTTAATAAATTTATCTGGGCAGGGAAAAAGCCAAGGGTTAAGTTTAAAATTATGCAAGACTTCCGTGAGAGGGGTGGACTTAAGGTACCAAATTTGAAATTATATTATGATGCGGTGGTTTTAACACTAATCAGTGATTGGGTAAATTTGACAAATTCTGAGATACTTTATCTAGAGGGATGGGATTTACTTTATGGGTGGCATGCCTATTTAATATTCAATAAAAAAATGGATTGGGCTTTTAAATCTCATATCTTAAGAATTTCTTTACTTAGGATTTGGAGAAAATATTATAAAAGTGATTTCAAAGTACCATTATGGGCTATACCTTGGCATGCGATAGAAGC